TTTTTTTTTTTTTTTTTCATAAGAATAACAAAGCTGCGTGTTATTGTAACAAATGTGAATAATATTCAAGTCTGGAACAAAAATCTTTGAGCAGACGCGTTAATGAAGTGGAACCACTATTACACAATAACAAATTAATAAAGGGAAAAAAAAAATTATTTATAATATTCATATTCGTATCGAGTAGTGGTAAGGTTGAAAAAAATCATTCGTCCGAACATGACTTGTCGATAAAACTTGTTTGTATACACGATAAAAAAAATAAAAAATAAAATAAAACACGCGAATTTGGATGCACGTGTATTTTTGCGCTCTCGATGTATAGTTTCTATTTCTATAAGAAGAATATCGTGCACGATATATCAGCCACATTTAGACCCAAAGATTTGAATAAACACGACCAATGTATCCGATACACAACGTTGCCCGAAACAAGCCACCTGCTCTCGAGTACGCGGTAAAAAAAAAAAAAAAAAAAAAAAACCATGCTCGCTCTCGCGTGTATTAATCGGGTTAAAAATACAAATGCACCAAACACGGGAGGTAAGTATTGAGAAAAAGAAAAAAGGCTTGCAAAGACAGCGATCTCTCCCTCTGTACGTCAGGTGTATATATATTTTCCTGTACCGCCGCGCGTATACTTAAATAAATAGCAGTCAGATCAAAGCCCGGCATGCGAGACTCGTCGAAAAACCTTTGGGGCGAAATAAACAAAGGCTCCGAAATAGAGCGTACATGGGGCACGCATGCACGGGTATATATATATATATGGTCGAAAAGTTAAAGATAGTCGCGATAAGTAAGTAATCCGACGGTTTAGCGCTCGGCCCGGTTTAATGGCGCGAAGAATTAAAATAAAGGCCGCCTGTATCGAAGAGTCGGAGTAAACACAATGGCCCCGTCGAATCGAGAGCAACCGCGTGATGTTACGGGCACCTATGAATATACCTATATGTGTACAGCAGCTGCAGGCACCCGCGATCTGTAATTGCACCTTTTACGAGCGAGACTTTAATCCGCGGCCCGATGTTGTTGTGCCACACGAATCATTTCTTTTCTCGCGAGTAGTATACTTATATAGGGGCTGCACGAGCGAAAGAGAGAGAGAGAGAGAGAGCAAAAAAGCTCTCGCTTACTTATTTATAAACTCGGCGAGCGAACATGGACATTTTTCTTCCTTCGGGTTTGTACAACTCTCGAGCCAACCTCGTGCTGGTATACCTCTAACCCTTTTCCGTGTGTATATAGCTGCCGCCTGAACATTAATGACTGCTTTTCGGTTTTAAATTACACTTACCCGCTCCGCTGTCGGCGCTCGGTCCGAGCATGTTGTGAACTCGATTCGCATAAAGTACGAACGTCGGGTATGGAATATCGTATTTCCTGAAAAAGGAAAAACACACCAATGTCAAATTATTACTTTTTTCCCTTCTCAACCCCCCCGCCTCCTTTTGCTTGGCTGCCTTTGAGATTACGGTTTTGCGCCACGATACTTATACGTGTCATATGTTTGCGCGGAAATTACATATTTTTATATTTTTCGTGACTTGCATCGGCTAGGACTAAACAAAAAAACAATAAATAAATAAATAAAAAAATAAAAATAAAACAATAGTAACGCGTGCTCCTTGTGTGTCACGTGTCAACCGTAATGCCTACGAACTATATAGTTTCGAGCGAGAGTCCTGAAGTTCAGGATTTCGCGCAACAAAATTATTAATTATTTTTTTCTAAATCCCGTCGTGTACCCAGAAATCGAGATCTCGTTTTCTTAAATTGACATGTAGGGATGACTGGGACTTAACTATCTGAAAAATCTGCAGTTGTAAGACACTTTACCAGCTTCAAAATTAAAAATTTTGATTGTAATCTAAACGCGAACAAATAAATAATAAAGGCTAGTGACACTCTTTAATTTGGCAAAAATATAGAATAAGACAAAAAAAGTCCAAAGTTTCACTTGGAATGGAAATGTGAGGTATTTAAAAGTATAATTTTTTATAAATAATAACGGTACAGACCAACGAGGATCTCACCGAGTTCCACAGTGCATGCGTATGTACAATTTTTCTAAATGAATGTCAATCAAAGTTTTCAAGAATGATGACGCACAAGTACCAAAATGAAAAAAAAAAAAAAAAAAAAAATCGTTCCGTGTATCAGAAAAACCATAAAATTAAAAAAAAAAAATTCCATCTTTTGATTTGAACGTAAATTTAATCTGAAATTTCAATTACCTCGCAGCTTGGCTCAACGAGAGGCCTTCCTTGAGCACGCTGAATATCGCTTCCGCCATCGTTTCCGGCCGCCAGGACTTCAAAGGCCCGCGTTCCCGAAAACGAAGATGGTGCACCAATCCCTGGTTGGTGTTCCAGCACTTTTGCCACATCGACTGCAACTGGTACTGGTAGCTGTCTGCTGGAACAGCCCCCCCGAAAAGAAACCAGGAAAAACACATTAATTATCAACGTGAATAAGCATAATAAATATGTAATTAAACTACGTACAAAATATGTCATTGATACCATTAAATTATCATATTATAATTATAATAATCATATATATATTATTGTTATAGTTGGTATATCTTAAGTAGAATACAATTTGATGAATTTCAAGTGATTCAGGGGTCAGAAGTCTCTGATGATAATTTTTAAGATAAAATCGGCATATAACTTTAACGACCCCGGTAAAAATTAATTATGTAATTTTGAAATTGCAAAAAAAAAAACAGCTGGTGGCTCGCACGTGCACCACTGTTAGTTATAATTTACATAACGTATTGTAAGAGGAAAAAAAAAAAACAATTCTCAGCTCGCAAAAGGAAATTTCCAGAAAGTCTAAGTTGGTATTTATGCGGTGGAAATTTAATATTTGTGAGTAACATTACTTCGGTCTATAAGCGAGTACCTCGTACTACTGGCATGGGCGTCTGAAAAAAAAGAAACAAAATGAGGATATGGAAATTAAATGGTAAAATTAAAAAAAAAAAAAAAAAAAAAAAAAAACCCACAGGAATTCATGTAAAAAAAAATGCTTGCGCATTTATAAGGTGGTTTGGGAATGGTAAAATGAAAAATAAAAAAAAACTCAAAATCGTAGGTAACAGAATGTATAGTTTATATGTACATGATATTTATGAAGTTTCACGTGATCACGTGTATACGTGTGTGTCTTATATATACAAGCAAAAAGTGAAATTCTCACGTCATCGCTTCGCACGTCAATCACATAGCAAGGAAAAAAATACAACGACTTAATGAGGCATAATTTAAAAAAAAGAGGGGTTTCGATGACTTTAGTTTTTCCCACTAATCGCACGTGGTATTTACCAATGAATTCATTTTCATTTGTAAATCACTCAAGACACAATATCGATGGCAGTTACAAATGTTTTTTCAAGCACACTAGCATTCCTTGAGCACACAAACATCAGGAACCGATCACCATAAAAAAAAAGGCTGCAACGAAAAGGTACAAGCGAATGATCGTCTTATTTTCATTTGTTCGCGCGTAATTACACATACGGAGATGCATACCGGAGGAGGATCACGCGCGTGATCAAGTAAAGGTATAGGGAGGCTATAGAACATAGGAGGTGCACGTATATGTATATGTACATGAGAGCAGTTATAGAGCAGAGAGATCGTACGTACACACGGTACCGATGGCCCCGATCTGGAGCTATTATTTAACGGTTAAGTTATCAAGTGTAATTAGGCCGCCTCCAATTTCATGATTAATACAATTAATTGGAAAAGACGCGCGTGCTCACTGCTGTACATATATAGGCTGGCGGGTAGGAGGAGAAAGATCCGAGGATGGGTTTCGTCCCGATCGAGCGGCTCGCGATAATTGACTTTTGCAAAATTACATGCGCACAGCGAGGCTGGTGATGATATGCGGGTCTCTCTCTCTCTATAAACTTTTTAGATTCAAACTGGTCGACCTCTAAATACATGCGCAGGTATAATCGTCGGGCAATGGAAATTTAATCTAGCTCGAGACGAATATCGGGATTTATTTTTATTAAGTCTAATCTCCTTTTTTTTTATCAAATAATAACATTACGAGCGTTTGTAGCATTCATAAAATTCTTACGTAAAGTTTAACTTTTGTTTCAACTAAAAAGCACAACAGAGAAGAAAAAAATTTTTTTTTGCAATTTACTTTTTGCCAAAATAAACTTTACATAATTCATTTAGCTCCAGCAAGGCACGTTATTTATCACACATGTTTGTACAACGTAATAGGTGAAACCTTAGAGGACAGATGTTGACGATTACTGCTTTCGTATGTGTACACGCACACAACCATCTTTGTGTAATCGTTACAAATGGCATTAATAAGTGAATCGGTTTTTATTGAAGGACAGGCAACTTCAATCGAGCGTTATTTAATTTCGCACAACGCTGTCATCATTGAAAACATCATCAATGTATTGAAATTTTAACAGTATCTATATGTACATGACAGGTTTTATAATTTTTTCACTTATTCTAGAGTTAGTGCCAAAATTTGATCGTTTATGCGATGGTCAGTAATTTTTCATACAAATTAACAAATTCTTTTGCGCATATATGGTGTTGAAAAATTAAAATAACAACTTGATCGACACATTCGATTTGTTAATACCTATATTATCAATTCCACAAAAAAAAAAAAAAAAACTGTTACTTGAGATATCAAGAAGTAGAAAAAAAGTCTTCTTAAATTCTTCACATATGTCGAAATAAATTTTAAATACAAATTAGAAACTGTTCTTCAACAAATTTTAAAAAATTGTGCAAATTTCCACCTCAAGTTCTATGAAGTGCACTAGAAAATTTGCGAAGAACAGCAAATGTACGACCCGAAGATGAACATTGTAAAAAAAATTTCATTGAAATTCGTGCAACTCATAGATGTAATTTTTTTTTATGGAATCGCTTTTATACCTACATAAAATGCATTTAAAATTACATACAAACAATTAAAAAATTATTCTACTTTAGAAACTTTTTAGGAATGTCAAAATCGCTACGAGTTAAATGCAAGCGAACAAAATTTATCACAATCTAATGGACGAGAGTCACTGTACGGGCACTTTGCAAAAGAAGACGCCACCGACTCGACGAACAATGGAATACAATATCAACAACTCGATTAAAAAATACAAGTACTGTAAGGCACAAATGTTTACGTGTATTATTAAAAGTATATATCACCAGAAGGCACGCTCGCCGAGTGTCGGCGTACAGTATCACGTTTAAAAAAAAAAAAAATCGATCGCGAGTGAAATCGAAAACCGAGTCAAGCCGATCGCTCGGAATAGTTTTCCCTGAAAACGACGCAAAGGTTTATCGTTTGTTTTCCTTTCTTTCAACGTATAAATCACAGCAATCGTTTCGCTATTAAAAAATGACAATTTAATTTACCTCAACAGCCATTTCGCTTAAATGCATCGGTTAAATTTTCATCCCCCCAGTTAGCCGCGCTCCAAAATAAAATAATTTCGGCAATCAAAATGCATTCACGATTCCAAAAATAGATTTTGCCCGCGGAAGGTATTGCACAAACATAGATATTTTTTTCCTTTCACGGCGCAACAATGCTTCGCATCAACGGCGGACAATATTGCGTCAACAGGAGTAAAAAAAAAAAAAGAAAAAAAAAGTTTATCCATCGTTGATCGAAATTCGGATTGGTGATAATTTCTTCATTTTTCCTGCCAACGGGACGAACGCGAGGGCCATTTGTCGTCCGCGACAAAAAAACATTGCCGAATATACATTCGAAAGGTAGAACTTGGAATAATAATTGACATGAACATCCCCAGCGCGAACGGCCCCTCTTTCAACCCTCCAATCGTAAATAACGAACAGGTTGACCAGAAGAGAAAAAAAAAAAAAAACATAAACCAAAAGGGAGCGTGAAAAAACATGTAACTCGATTGCTATAAATATTCGAATACAGACGTCTGGTGGCAAAAAAAAAAAAAAAAAAAAAGTAACGTAAAGGAAACCTATACGCGTGTGGCCAAATGAAAGGAACACTAATGAGCGTTACGCCGACACGTGGGGTATATATTTATATGGAATCACGACGCCCGTCGGCACAATCGACGTGGCTACAACTTTGTTTGATTAAATTAACGAGCCCAATGGAAGCTATACACATAGCCTTTTCAACGTTGATGGAACAAAAGAAAATAAAAAATAAAAAAAATAAATAAATAAATCACCATGCTCAACAGCATTGTAATTGGTAATGTGTATCCCTCGATCTCACAAAACACATGGCACATTTGAAGGACACGACTTACCCGCACACAATACATATAGTAATCGAAGACGGATGCCGGAATGGACGTATAATTATTATGTAAAATAATACAAATTTTACATGTCAAAGATTCCACGTGTAAATGTGTTTTTCCGACACAATAAACGTCAACTTGTCCACCTGTGAGTACGTACATACATTTGCGCGTATACGCACAGATCACGTAGTCAAGTTATGACTGCAGCAAGGCCACAGAGTGCCTCTACTATAGAAAAATAATCGAGTAATTGTTGCAGCCCGTGATGAATTGACCAACTCGAGGATATATATATATCTATAAGGTAATATATATATTATGTATACACGTATATATGTAAGCGAGGTATATAGCGGCAGTGTGGAGAGGGAGGGTAGAGCATATGTCCATACGTATATATAAACACGCGTTTTACAGCCGCGCGCGGTGCTCCCGAACGATTTTGCTCGCACGCAGGAAATGGACATTCCAACGACGACTACGACTACGATGATTGCCGTAATTCCCTTTGGATATTTCGGTACGCGTTGCCGCGATATATGTGTACAACAATGTGCGTACCCCCGGTATATACCGCTGGCCTGGGGCTCGTTGGCGAAAAATATTCGCCGATCGCCCGGTAACACGTATACATGTACGTCCACAGTTTTCATTTTGTTTTTTCTCTTTTTATTACTTTATTCGGGAGCTCAAAAGCTCGACGGGGGCTTTGCTCGGCTCGCCCGATATTGTTTTCGTATAATCTGTGAAATACACTTGGTTTCCATCAATTTTCAAGTGGCTTGGGGTTAAAAAATAAAAACAACTTTTATCTCGCGTTCAAATAATAATTTCGTGGCGACTGTATTGTACCATAGGTATATATACACACATGTAGGCGCTTTGATGAAACGCGAGCGACACAGTGCGTTATACGACTCTTTTTTTTTTTTTTTTTATTACCATTATCTTTTTTCCTTTTATTTTATTTTATTATTTTCATTCAAAAGCCGGCAACTTTGCGCAAAGTTTGATTGGCGTTTTTTTCAATGGGACTATAATATATACTTTTTTTTTTTTTCGCTCTTAACGATCCCGTTACGCGTACAATAATACACTTTTTTTCATAAAACATAGAAATAATGATACAGCGCGTGTGCAACATAATACGCAATAACTTGTTACCTTTGCCGCGTATCTCATTTGCCACGACAAATAGGTGTTTCGAAATAATCCACGCAGCGTTTGACAATGGACTGTGAGAACATTACAAAACTTTATGATTATCGACCTTTTCTTTACAAATCATAGGTAATTTTAAAGGAGCACGCGTTTAATTTGCAAAAATCAAAGTTGATGACAAAGCATTCAATATGCATAAAGAGTAACTACAATGGCACGGAGTCATCATTTTTTTGGCGCTTCGTCGCGTCGAAGATTAATCGATTTATATAATTCAGGGGAGCGACGAAAGGGCTAATATGTGCTACGGGCTGCTACATTAAATATAAAATTATTCGAACGGCGAGATGTACAATCCGCATGTACATGTGTACGATAATCTCATTAAAATGGGTAACGACGCGGAATGCGAAACTCGGCGAGTTCCATACACTTTCATTACGACATTACCATCCACCGGGGACACCCCCTCTCCCCCTCCTAACCGCCCTCAACGTGGCTAATTTCACCGATCTCCTCTCCGCAGTGCCGTTGATTTTCGACGAATCAACAAAAAATACATGGTTATATCATTTGTAGGATGAATCTGGAACAAAATCAGTCTCGATGCTCTCAACGATACGGGCATTGTAGTGCCAAAAAAATGGGAATGTGGTGTATGTAAAACAACAATTAAAATGTAAATTTAAATGTAAATTTATAACAAATGAGTGAAAGGCGCGTATAGTCCGGGGTTTGGGTTAAAACTAGGCAATGGTCACTCGTTGTCGTTCTCATCGTTAAAGTATAGCGAGACGATGCCGTGTTTCTTGCAAAAGGCCCACCACCAGCGAAAGCCCGCGAGTCCGGCGAACGCGAAGCCGGGGTCGCGCTTTCGCCGGAGCTTCTCGACGAAGCCGAGTATCGAGGCCAGTGATTTCTTGGTGCGCCGATTGTACGGGCTAACGCTTATGTCGCAGCAGAACTCGAGCACCGCCGTCTCCTCGGGGCCGTCGAGGCCCGCCTCCTCCAGTACCATCATCCGCTTCGACTTGCCGAGTATGTTGTCGTAGAGGGTGCCCTTTGGTATCCCGTACTTGCTCGACGCTTGGGTGAAGCGCATCTTTTGCGTGACCACCGCCTCTATCGCCTCCTGCAGCTCTTGGCGCGTCCACGTCGGCGCCTTCAGCTTAACAGGCTTGTGTAGTCAGCTAAAAATCAGCACATGTACCTATACGATGGCTCTAGCCCCCTTTTTTTTTTTTTTTTTTTTTTTTTTGTTTTGTTTTTTACTTTTTACTTTTGGCACGATCGTTATGATACGTAGTATTGTTTTGCTGAGAATTAACATGAAAATCCAATCTAGTAACTGAAACGGCGGAATTTTTTCCAATCCTAATTTCATTGATCACTCACTTTAGGGGGATTAAAAAAAATTCGGGAGCTATCGATTGAAAAATCCAACGAGTGATATAAGATTTGTCTCCGCTATAATTATTTTTCTCGATGTAGCGATCGTGCCTTCTATGCAACGGCATAATAGCCCTTTACATAAATAAAACCACTGATTTTTTTTGTTTCTTTGGTCTTTGACTTTTTTATACTTTACAAGACAGTAGGGAGATGATGGTGCTTACATAAATATAAAAAATAATAAAGCAACAGTAAAAAAAATAAGAAAAAAAATAAATCGTTGAGTATACGTGGGAAAAAGTACCCTCTCCTTTTTTTTCCAAAATAAAAGTATGTAGTATGAGGGGAGTAAATGCGGGGTTAGAGGGTTATTGGGTAACAAGATGGCTCAAGAGAGAATTTACCGATTTGGGAATCAAGCAAGGGTCACCACAAAGTCTCTCTTCAATCGTGGGGCTTGAGCAAAACGACATACTATTGACTGAGGGGATGCGATACACATTGTTGTTACTATTTTTATCGATACCATTAATTAACGATTGGTTCATACAAACTCACCTGCTATACTGGAGGTGGAGGCTCCGAGCCAAGCGTGGGACGATTCCAACAACTTGGCCTGAAACAGACGAAACAAAGAAAAAAAAACACAGGTTAGTCTCATTGTTTCTTGTAAAAAATGTATATTTTTTAAAATCTACTATACATTTTGTACTACTCTCTTGCGTACAGCACGACGCAAATAATATTTCACACAGAGCGCCGAGCTTTTCGCAATAGAAGACGAAGCTTCAAGGAAAAGAGAAGGTGTATTTTTCGGGAAGGTGGGAAGGGGGTGTGAGGGAAAAAAGTGCGGAGTATCCGCGGTAAAGATAAATTGTTTCCCAAAGCTATGCACGAACTTAAAACCACTAGGAGCAGAAAGGGAGTGGGGGGGGGGGTAAGGAGCCACTCGGGCAATATGGGCGCCAGCTCCTCCTCGCCCCGGGCAACTTTACTAATATGCGAGAGGGGGCAAGGCCGCTCGCAAGCTAAGAGCCGCTCACTCGGGGAAAGACACACGCAAAGTTGCTTCATTTGAGCGTGTGGGAGGGGGGGGGGTGTACAAGCGAGGGGGCAAACTTCGAATTTCGGCGATATCCTTCCTCCGAAACGGGCGAGCGCAGCCGAGCGCTATCAGCCGCGAGCACGCGCGTGTACCTCGTTTCCACTGACTTTTGAAATTAATTTTTAAGGGCCCTCTCCCCCCCCCCCCATACGTTTGGCTCTTTTTCCTCGATAAGCCGTATGCACCCCGACCGATATATGCCTTCCTTATAATACTTTCGCATTTTTGCGCTATATATACTCTTGCTTGCTTGTCTTGCTTCGGATAGAGGAGCGAGGAACCCCTCTCCACTGGCTTTTTCAAGCTTATATCCCAAAAAACTTTTCACTCGCCTCCTCCTCCTCCTCCTCCTCCTTTGCAGCGCGTCCTTATCAAACATTAGCCACTATACCCTGTGCACAGCCTTTCCTTCATTTTTTGTTGTTGTTGTTGTTGTTGTTGCTTTTTGTTTCAAGATACACGCAAACAAAAACCTCCGCTTTCTCAAACTAATCTGCTGCCAGACGGTTTCCCCTGTAGATTATTATCTTCTCTCGAGCCTGTGGGTGATGGCTATACAGCAAAGATCGACTTACACATCGATTTTCGCTCCGAAGGAAAACTATAGGGTTTCAACGATCCTTTGCCCATGCAGCTTCAACCCTCGCGCTATTAATCACAGGTTCAGCTTTCCTTTCGACTCTAATAGACGATGATGATTTGTAATTGAATAACGACGGCGGCAAGATCGGAAACTGCGAGCGTCGTAAATAACAACCGTACGTCATCCGTCCGACAAGTGATGTATACATGTAAAGCGCAACAACAGCACGTTGATTTTAATTATTGCACGCGTTCGGGGAGAAAGAGAGACTTTGGAGGGGGGGGGGGGTGAATGATGATCGAGTCTTAGCTATCGCGTATCGGGGCAGAATCAAATGGTTCCGGCACATCCGCGACCTACAATGAGCAAGTACGGGCGAAGAAGATAAAGCTGGCGTAAAGCCCTATGCAGTATCCATAATATTTGTACGGGCGCTCTTTTATAAATTAATTGTCACACGTATATGATTACCCCTGCGGTTGATTTTTATCGATGACGCGCAAGCAATGGTATCGGCTAAAAAGTCCTCGCCCACCTCCCTTCCGTCGAAATTATTCAAGAGCCGCGATGTATAGTGATCAAGTGAAAAAGGTAGAGCAACCGATTAATACTCGATTACTGCCAAGACTATCATTTTTAAATAAATAATCAGGGCAAAGGATGGGTCGTCGTCGTCGTCGTCCCTTCCTTTGCTCCTCCTCCTCCTCCTCGATTAAACGGACACGGTATAGGTATACGTACAAATGTGGAGGCGCGGTTATCTTATAATTCACGAGGAAGAGCGACGCCCGTACATTATTGAACCAACTATATACATATACACATATGACTGAGGACCCAGTGGTGGTTATGCGGTATTACAGCTCACAGGTCCGTGGCAACGATGACAATTAGCGAACAATGACACAGAGGTGCCTTATGGGGTGAGACGGAGCCCCCACTTTGACGGGACACGCGGGAAGATGTCGCGCAAGGCGGGGGACACTTATAAAATATTCATCAAAGGGCCGACGTCATCGACCGATCACCGCGCTCGTCCCGATACTTATTCTCGGAGGAGGAAGCGACAAATTATAGCCCCCACACCTGAGACAGCTACACCCACTGCCTGGGATATTTTGCAACATTACGTAAGTACACACCAATTGGCACGTGCCTTTTTGTTTCTCTCCCGGTATCGTTTTCACAAATGACCGCTTTTACCGTATACGCATATGGTACTTCACTCCCTCCGTTCTCTCTCTTTGCCACTTACATCGAATAGTCCCTCGGTTGCAAAAGTACGTACCTATGTAATATTGAACAGTAAAATAAAAGCGCAGGGTCTTAATTCCAAGTCTTTTTGTCTCGGTACCTATTTTGGACAATCAAACGGAGCATCGCAGTCTCCTGTCAAGTTACAGGCACGTGTTTTTACGTGGTACATACAACATTTATTCGGAGCAAATTACTCGGTAAAATTATTTGTGAGAGAACGCGCTGTCGTGTTCATTTCTTTGCTCTCGAGAGACAGAGAGATAGTGTCCGTAAGCTACGCACTGCCGATGGCTGGCGAGACAGAACCGCTCGGCTAACGAGCTAATTCCCAGCAAATATTTGCACCCATCATCCGGGCAGGCGTCAAGGATCCTCGCAGGTGTGCGCGTCTCTCTGCCCGTCGCGCCGCGCGAGCGACTCTCGTACATAAACACACATAACAGCCGCTGGATTTCAGTCAACAGACGAAACGAGGCTGAAAGGGGGAGAGTCATACAGTGGGTGTATATAGAAAAGGCTCGGGGATCGACGACTTGTAGGCGAAAGAGAGAGAGAGAGAGAGATTGGGGGGGAGGGAAAGGATGCGCCGGCAAATTTCTAATCAGATTACCGTGGATTAGCAAAGTTCGTTTGTTCTAATGAAATTCGTCTAAATTAACGTCGCGGGAGGCACGGCGGCCTCGAGGAGGAGGGTATTAACTAGGAACTGGGAGGCAGGAAGAAAGAAAGAGAGAAACGGGGTACGTCACGGAAAGGCTGCGCGCGTAGGTATATATATGTATGGGCTCGGCTGCAGCGGCAACTCGAAATCGAGTTACGCTGATGAGAGAGAGAGAGAGAGAGAGCTGCGGATCATTAAACGCGCGGGCGCGAAAAACAAAAAAAAAGAAAAAAAAAAAAAAAATTAAAGGAAGAGCTCGTTTGCAGCCGGGCCGGGAAAATGAGCGACCGCGAAACTTTTCGTGGATCTGTAATGTATAATAGAGAGTTGGGATAAAAGAGAGAAAAAAATGCAATCTGTACGACTGCACAGAAACGTCGACACATTTTTACTCGTCACCAGTGTTTTACGAGCTTTTGTTTGAATCCAAGCTTCCAAGTATATAACTCTACGTCGTCGACTGGATAGAAAAAAGGGGACAAGCTGCTCTAGACGATGGTAAAATTATCGGGATAACAACAAATAAAACCCTCACACGTGAGAGTAAAGTTTTTTTTATTTTTGTCAAATTAATGATTACAGTTCCATGCGAAGGGTGGATACATGGTGTAGCCAAAGTTGAACGGGTAGAGGAGAGGGATCATCAGTCTGGGGATGTTCGTATAAAGGAAAGGGATATATCGTACAGCGTGCACACGGAGGGAGAGAGAAATTTGCGCCAGTATGAGGTATATATGTGTATGTATACGGACAGGAAGGGGAGGTCCTCGGGCGCGTCGTCTCTGGGCGAATAAATAGATTTATTTGTTTACGATAAATTGATGCTACCGCGTGGCGTTGGTATATAACACACCCGTGTAGCGTACGCGTGCAATATAACAAGGATTGTACCTATATGTTTTCACGCGTATACAGCGGCCGCACCTTCGTATGGATGGGGGATCGGATTGTTTCGAGTTTGCACAACAGCCCAGTAACGGCAGTCTGGCAGCGATACTGTTGACGCTTTCTGTTATACTGGCACGTCATTATCACTTAACGAATCGTCTATACGAGCTATACCCCACCGCCATCGCGCACATGTATATGCACCAATGGGTGGGTGTACGTTTATATATATATTTTATTACCTGCAATATCTACGTGATAATCAGTAGCTGATGCCAATGGAGACTTATAAATAGTCCGGTTAATTTAATTTATTTTAATAAAAACGTAGTGGTACACGTCCATCGCGTAACAATTCGCGTAAATGCGTATTCATATTAACAAAGAGGGACAGACACGCGATAATTATACATCGCGTCGTTAAACACATTCTAGCTCTTGTGCAACGATTTACAATATCTGCGTCACCATCTGTTATACGTTACACAATATAACCCTCTGAACTTCCCTCCTGCGTTTGCTCGATAAGCAAAAAAAAAAAAATAAAAAATGGAAAAAAAAAAATAGAAGCGCACATACATTATACACGCGACATGACTGCTACAGCGTTGACTCGCTCTTTTATTGTACAATGGAGCTAATAATAATAATCCGCAATTAATGCAAAATAGAAGCACACGTGCTCGATGCTGCGACGCGAGGAGATGATGACGCAACAACAATTAATATAATTGCGCAACTGCTGCACTGCACACATCTGTATATGTATCGTATGTAATGTGCTCGAGTAATTCTGAAAAGCAGAAGAAGAAAAGGGGGAGGATGAAAAAAAAAAAAAAAATGTATGTATAGTAACATCATCCGCTTCTGTTAGCACAGTTTCAGGTAGCGGGGAAGGGGGGAGGGGCACATTCTTTTACTTTAATTTTTGCAATTTCGTTAAAAGGCCGCTCTACAGGTGACTCTGAAGGGTTCTCATACGTATATATACATGCAATATATACTGCTGCCTCCTCGACTCGGTAAAACCCCCTTTTCATTTTTCCTCTCCCCTTTTTTACCTTCCTCTTCCTCGAAGGTTTCCCCCCCTACTTGGGTACATCAGACAAGATACGCGAGTCG